AAGCCAAAGTCGGCGGCGCGCCAAGGGCCCCGCGGGGGGGCCAAGGACGTAAGGAAATGAGAAGAGGTGCCGTGAAATCTGGAGAAATAGCATGGTCCCCGCCAGGACATCCACCCCCCCCTAGTCATCACCCCCCTCTTTGCCGCCCCCGACCTACGTTGAGCGACGAAAGCAAGCGGGTCGTGCGCGATGTGGCACGGCGACCTTACGCGGTGGCTTGCGCGTGCCACCGGCGCGTCACGCCACGCTGGAGACCAGGGCGCTCACGCGCGAGCTCACGCAGGCAGTCCCCTCTGTTCCCCCCCTGCGTTGGGTGGCGAGGAGGTGCGGCGGGGGGCCGAGGAGCCGAGGCCAGCCCGGCCCCACAAGGGCCCACGGGGCCGCGGCCGCAGCCGCCGCCCGCCCTGCCCTGCGGGGTCCTCCCTTGATCCTCGATCCTCTCCTCCTCCTCCTCCTCCTCCTCCTCCTCCTCCTCCTCCTCCTCCTCCTCCTCCTCCTCTCCTCCTCCTCCTCCTCCTCCTCCTCCTCCTCCTCCTCCTCCTCCCTCCTCCTCCTCCTCCTCCTCCTCCTCTCCTCCTCCTCCTCCTCCTCCTCCTCCTCCTCCTCCTCCCCCTCCTCCTCCTCGCCCTCGCCTCTCCTCCTCCTCCTCCTCCTCCTCCTCCTCCTCCTCCTCCTCCTCCTCCTCCTCCTCGAGGGTGGGGCCTGACAGCGGCACGTCGTCCCCAGGCAGGCAGAGCGCCATGGCCGCCGGCACAGGGCACGGGGCTCGGCTGCCCAGGAAAGGGGCTACCATCATCATCATCATCATCATCATCATCATCATCATCATCATCATCATCATCATCATCATCATCATCATCATCATCATCATCATCATCATCATCATCATCATCATCATCATCATCATCATCATCATCATCATCATCATCATCACCCCCACCACCACCACCATCAGCAGCAGCAGCACCACCACCATCATCATCATCATCATCATCATCTTCATCATCATCATCATCATCATCATCATCATCATCATCATCATCATCATCATCATCGTCGTCGTCGTCGTCATCATCATCATCATCACCATCATCATCATCATCATCATCATCATCATCATCTTCTTCGTCATCATGATCATCATCATCATGGTCATCATGATGATCATCATCAGCATCGACAGCATCATCATCATCATAATCATCATCACCATCACCATCATCAGCAGCAGCATCATCACCACCACCACCACCATCATCATCATCATCATCATCATCATCATCATCATCGTCATCATCATCATCTTCTTCGTCATCATGATCATCATCATGGTCATCATGATGATCACCATCAGCATCGACAGCATCATCATCATCATCATCATCATCATCATCAGAATCAGCATCATCATCACCATCACCATCACCATCACCATAACCATACCCATCACCATAACCATCACAGTCATCATCATCAGCGTCGTCATCATCATCATGACTATTATCAGCAGCAGCATCATCATCATCGTCACCGTCATCATCATCATCATCATCATCATCACCATCACCATCACCATCACCATCACCATACCCATCACCATCACCATCAACAGCATCATCAGCATCATCATCGTGATCCTTATCGTCATCCTCATCGTTATCCTAATCCTCATCCTTATTGCCATAGTCATCCTCATCATCATCAGTACCATCGCCATCCCCATGTCCAACACCATCAGCACCATCATCATCATCATCACCACCATCACCATCACCATCACCGTCACCATCATCAGCAGCAGCAGCATCATCCTCATTAGCAGCAGCAGACTCGTCATCGTCACCGTCGACAGCATCGTCATCATGGCATGCATCATAATCATCATCATTATCATCAGCATCATCATCGTCGTCGTCATCAGTATCATCATCATCAGCATCGCCATCATTATCATCATCACCACCACCACACAATCACCATCACCATCACCATAACCATCACCATCACCATCAACTCACCCACCTCAGCATCGCCATAATCACCAAAACCATCACCATCATCATCCACAGCATCGTGCGCATACTCATGATCAGGCCATCCCTCTGCTCCTACCCGTCCACCTCCTTCCGCCTTCACCTCATCATCTTCCCCATCCAAATACTCATTCACGCCCTCTTTCTCATCGTCCTTCTGTGCTGGTCATCACCATGATCACCGTCAGCCTCGTCATCATCACCATGATAATTACCATCATCAACAACATCGCCATCACCGTCACCATCACCATCACCATCATCATCACCATCACAATCATCATCACCACCACCACCATCATCATCATCATCATCATCATCATCATCATCATCATCATCATCACCATCATCATCATCATCATCATCATCATCATCATCCTCAACCTCAACCTCATCCTCATCCTCATCATCCTCATCATCATCAGCATCGTCATCCTCATCGTCATCGTCGTCCTCATCCTCATCCTCATCGTCATGCTCGTAATCAGCATCAGCATCAGCATCATCATCAGCATCATCATCAGTACCATCACCATCTCCAACACCATCAGCACCATCACCATAATCATCATCACCACCATCACCATCACCGTCACCATCATCATCAGCAGCAGCATCATCCTCATTAGCAGCAGCAGACTCGTCATCATCACCATTAACAGCATCGTCATCATGGCATGCATCAGAATCATCATCATTATCATCAGCATCATCATCATCGTCGGCGTCAACATCATCGCCATCAGCATCCTCATCATCAGCAGCAGCATCATCATCGTCACCACCACCACCACCATCACGATCGCCATCACCATCACCATCACCTCACCCACTTCATCATCGTCATCATCACCACCATCATGATTATCCACATATCGTCCGCATACTCATGATCCGACCATGCCTCCTACCCGTCCACCTCCTTCCGCCTCCACCTCATCATCTGTTCCATCCAAATACTCAGTCACGCCCTCTTTCTCATCGTCCTTCTCTCTTTGTCGTCACAAACCATAATCACCGTCAGCCTCGTCATCATCACCGTCATCATGACCATCATCACCAGCATTCGCGTCGTTGTCTCCTCGTCCTCAGCCTCATCATCATCAGCATCAGTATCATCACCATCATCATCATCAACACTATCACCACCACCACCATCACCATCATTATCACCATCATCATCGTAGTCATAATCATCATCATCGTCGCCATTAGCATCGTCATCACCATCACAATTACCATCATCATCACCATCATTATCATCATCACCACCATCATCATCATCATCATCAGCATCATCATCATCATCATCATCATCATCATCATCATCATCATCATCGTCATCATCGTCATCGTCAGCATCATCATTATCAGTCAGAGCCATCATCTTCATAATATCAACATACTCCTCCTGCCCCCATACTCCTCATCTAAGGCAAGACGTGGGAGTGAAGCCTCGAAACGTCAGGCGGCCGGCGTGCACCTATAATGCACTGCGAGGCAAGCAAGCAGTGGGCAGCAAACAGCGTCAAAAAAATGCCAACAAACATGGGATTGCGTCTCCGCATACACCTCATCCAGTCATCATCAGCACCATCATCATCATCATCATCATCATCATCATCAGCAGCAGCAGCAGCATCATTACATCATTACATCATCATCATCATCATCATCATCATCATCATCATCAACATCATCATCATCACCATCATCGTCGTCATCAGCATCAGTATCAGCATCAGCATCATCATCGGTACCATCATCATAAGTAGCATGAACATTAGCAGCGTCATCAACATCATCATAAGCATCATCATAAGCATCACCATCAGCATCAGCACCACCATCAGCACCACCATCATCATCATCATCATCATCATCATCATCATCATCATCATCATCATAATCAGCAGCATCATCATCAACATCATCATCGACATCATCATTATCATCATCAGCATCGATATCTCGCCTCCTCCTGCTCCTCACCACCACCAGAACCACCATCAGCACCACCATCCGCAGCAGCACCGGTGTCATCATCGTCAGCATCGTCGGCATCATCAGCATGATCATCATCGTCAGCAGCAGCAGCGTCAGCACATCATCATCATCATCATCATCATCATCATCATCATCATCATCATCATCATCGTCATCAGCATCAGCATCAGCATCAGCATTACCATTATCATCATCGCCAACATAATTAGTCGTCGTCGCCATCACCATCATCCTCATCAATAATCAGAATCACCAGCATCACCACCATCACCATCATCAGACCACCATCACCACCGTCAGCATCATCACGACCAACACCATCACCACCATGCCGCCCGCGCTGGAGGAGGAGGAGGAGGAGGAGGAGGAGGAGGAGGAGGAGCAGGAGGAGGAGGAGGAGAAGGAGGAGGAAGAGGAGGAGGAGGAGGAGAAGGATGAGGAAGAGGCAGAGGAAGAGGAGGCGGCGGAGGAGTAGGAGCTGTCCCCCCCTTGGAATCCTTGCAAAGACGAGGAGGAGGAGGAGGAGGAGGAGGAGGAGGAGGAAGAAGGAGAGGAGGAGGAGGAGGAGGAGGAGGAGGAGGGAGGACGATTCAGGATACTCAAGACGACGACAGCGAAAGCCAAGCAGGCGAAGCCCCTGAACCGGCATCCCGAAAGAGCAGAGCTGTGCACTGGGACCCTAGCCTTGGGCATCTCGGGAAAAGCGCGCTGAGGGCCTCACCGACGTGGGTATCTACTTCAGCGACTGCGGGCGAGCTTCTGCTGCCACGAGCTCCTCCTCCTCCTCCTCCTCCTCCCTCCTCCTCCTCCCTCCTCCTCCTCCTCCTCCATCCTCCTCCTCCCCTCCTCCTCCTCTCCTCCTCCTCCCTCCTCCTCCTCCTCCTCCTCCTCCTCCTCCTCCTCCTCCTCCTCCTCCTCCTCCTCCTCCTCCTCCTCCTCCTCTGGCGTGGGGCCGAACGCCTTCACGAACTGCCGGAGGCCTGTCGTGCACGACTTGCCGCAAGTGCTGCAGGAGGTGAGGCCAGAGCTTCTCCGGTAGTGGAGCGCGTGAGCCTGGCGGAACTTACAACCCATCTTGCCGAGCGCGACCCCAGACGAACGGACTCGGTGGGGCAACGAGCAGCACGCCTCGTCCTGCACAGCCGACCAAAAACGAATCCTGATTCGAAAACGGGTCAAGCTTACGGTAATAGAATTTGGTGAGAGGACGAGGAAGAGCAGGAGGAGGAGGAGTCGAAGGAGGAAGACTCTTCGGGATCTTCGGGGAACCTCCCGAGGGCCAAGCGCGCTCGGAATCTCAGAGGATGGTATACTTGACGTACTTCTTCTCGAACTCCACAACGCGCTACGCACAACAGAGCTGCAGAGCCACCAAGAGAAGGAGGCAGAGGAGGAAGAGGGCCGAGCAGGAGGAGGGGAGGAGGAGGACGAGGAGGAGAGGAGGGAGGGGACAGGAGAGGAGGTGGAAGAGCAGGAGGAGGAGGGGGAGGAGGAGGAGAGGAGGGAGGGAGGGGGAAGAGGAGGAGGGAGGAGGAGGAGGAGGAGGGAGAGGAGGAAGGAGGAGGTGGAGGCAGAGCAGGAGGAGGAGGTGGGAGGGCGCGTCGGGGCCACGCGGCGCGGGCGGCGCCCCCGGCCTTGCGGTGAGCGCCGAGACCCCCGCTGGCCCCAGGCGACGCGCCTGCGGGCACAGGGACATGCACGCCCGGTGCGCGCTTGCCCTCCTTTCTCTTCCCGCGCCCTGCCTCCCTCCACTCCCGATCCCCCTCTTCTGCCTCCTCTTCTCTCTTTTACTGCCTGCTCCTCCTCCTCCTCCTCCTTCCTCCTCCTCCTCCTCCTCCTCCTCTCCTCCTCCTCTCCTCCTCCTCCTCCTCCTCCTCTCCTCCTCCTCCTCCTCCTCCTCCTCCTCCTCCTCCTCCTCTTCCTCGTCCTCCTCCTCCTGCCCCCCATCCATCCTCACCCTTCGCCCCCCTCCCCCCGTTGCGTCTTCCTCCCTCCTCCGTCCTCGCCCTCCCTCCTCCCGCGTCCTCCTCGGCCACATCGAGCAGGCAGCTGAAAGGCAACCGCCGACTGCGGCGCGCATGGGGGGCGGGAGGGAGAGCGCGCGAGCGAGACGGGCGGCGGGAGGGCCCAGCAGCACACGCAGGAGGCGGAGGCAGAGAAAGAGCGCGCGGCTGGGAGGGGGGAGGTCGAAGGCGAGGGGAGGGGGGCGAGGGGGAGGGTCCCCCCTCCTGAGACGACGCCAGGACGAGTATAAAATCGGGCGAGGATGTAAGCCGAGAGCGTCTGAGTTCCGGCGCCTCTGGAGGATGTCGCGGGCGCCGCGGCCTCCTCGGAGCGTTCTCCTGGAAGCTCTGAGAGCGTTCAGGAACGCCCTGGAACGGATTTACCCTCGTCCTGGCCCTGTCCGAGAGGGGCCCCCCCTCCTGCTGCAAGGTGGCCCACGCCGCGCGCCTCCGTCGCGCCCCCCGGTGGCGCTCTGGGCTCGAGCGCGCGAGGCTGTGCAGTAAGGCTGCAGCCACACGGAGCGACGAGTGAGGACTGAGGCCCTCTGCAGCCACCCAAGAGGGCCCTGGTGCACGAGACGCGCCCGAGGACCTTTGGGAAAGACGAGCCCATTCCGAACCCGAACTGCTCCTGAGTTCGGCGTCCTGAGTGAGTCAAGCGCGCTCCACCACTCGCAGAGTAAGTACTCGCCAATGGCCCAGATCCGCCGAGGGGGGGGAAGTTACGATACATTACATCGAGGCGATCTTGTGCTGTTCGGACGTGCGCGAGGTTGCGAAGCACGTTCGGTGATGATTGCATGGCCACCATCACTCGTCGGCCTCCTGCTCGTGGAGCCTCGCCTGCTCAAGACTGGCACGCCCGACATGCGCAAGCACGACAAGAAGGGGCACAACACTGCCCAACAGCAGACGTTGTCCAAAACTGACAGCGGTTGCTGTTGAGCATGCGACTGTTTGACTCAAATGGACATCCACGGCGACACCGACTGCGAGTCCTGCTCAGAATGGGCATGAACAGCTGGAGTTCTTCGCCACCATTCTTTCCGTACCCATTTCGATCGCGCCGACCTGTCGTCCTCGCACTCGGAGCCCCTGCACAAGCAAAACGGCTGCTGCCGGCACATCCCGTTCGAGGGCCTCGCGAGCGGCGGATCGTCGGCAGAATGAAGCTGCGCTTGATCGAAACAAGCTGGGCCAAGAAGCTACATACGTCCACATCGCCTTCGCGCACGATGGCGTTCGCACCGTCGTGGCGCCAAGCGCAGCGAAGTTCGTGATCGGCGTGGACGTGCCCTTTTCGCGGAAGCTGATACTCGCGGTCCGCCCCTTGGGCGGCCCGAGTCGCCATCCCTACTGGTGCTCATGAGGTTGGGCGGTTCGGCCTGGTCGTGGTTTTCATCCAGGGCTTCGGGTTCACATACCTCTCGGTCGCCGTTCTGGCGATGGACATTCAGAGTGTCAGAAAGAACAGGGTGAAGCAGCTGCACCCAATCCTGAATCACACCACGAAGCTCCTCAGCGACCCGAGCAGGGGCATCGTCAGACTCAGCAAGCCGCCCGTGCCGATGCCGTGCTCCCCGCCCGCCCGCGCCCTGAGAGCGCCGCTGCTGAGGCCGCTCGCCGTCGCGAGGCTCCTGCTGCCCGCGCACGGCGTCCTGAGGCCGGGCACCGCGAGAGCCAGCAGGGTGCCCTGCAGTATGACGTGGCGATGCAAATGACGATGTCGCCTGCAAGGCATGATAGAGCCGAGGATCCATGCTGATGCTCTGGAGCCTGGCCTGCAGGCTGTTGGTACTCCCTGCTGCAGCTGCCCCCCGCGCATCCACGCCGCGCTCCCAGACAGCCGCGGCCGCGAGCGGGCGCGCGGGCTCGGCGCCGCGGGGGCGCGGCGGGCGCAGGGCCGCGAGCGGAGGCGCGACGGGCCCGCTCGAGGTCTCGTGGGCCACGCTGCGCCGGGGCCCGGGCCCTGCAGCCCCTTCGGGCCCTCGTCCTCCTGCCCCTGTCGTGGCCGCTCGACGGGGCTGGCATGACTCTGAGGGGGCTAGATTCGCTGACCGGGGTCCATGCTCGTTGTCTCCGTGTTCCTGCCCACCTCTGAGTGGTGTCCATCTCTGAGCCCATCTGTGAGTGGTGCCCATGTTCTTTCCGACGTATCAAATCCTATCCTCATCCCCCTTCCCCTCCCCCTCCTCCTCATCCCCCTCCTCCTCCTCCTCCTCCTCCTCCTCCTCCTCCTTATCATTATCAGCATCATCATCAGCAGCAGCATCAGCAGCAGCATCAGCAGCAGCAGCATGATCATCAATTACAACGACATCATCAACAACATCATCATCACCAGCATCAGTATCAGCATCATCATCACCACCATCATCATCAGCAGCAGCATCATCCTCAGCGGCAGCCTCGTTATCATCAGCAGCAGCAGCAGCAGGATCATCACCATCATCACCATCAACACCATCATCATCAACATCATCAGCAGCAGCATCATCATCATCATCATCAACATCAGCAGCATCGTGAGCATCATCAGTAGCATCAGCATCAGCATCATCATTTGCATCATCAGCATCAACATCGTCATCATCATCATCACCATCATCATCATCAGCGGCATCATCAGCAGCAGCCTCGCTATCATCATCAGCACCATCATCATCATCAGCATCATCATCACCAACACCACCACCGTCGTCATCATCAGCAGCAGCAGCCTCGCTATCATCCTCATCATCATCACCATCAGCAACATCAGCATCACTATCGTCATCAGCAGCAGCATCATCACAACCACCACCACCACCGTCATCAACAGCATCACCATCACCAGCAGCATCAACAGCATTATCAGCATCGTCATCATCATCATCATCAGCAGCATCAGCATCAGCAGCATCATCATCAGCATCATTATCAGCATCAGCATCATCATCACAATCATCACACTCATCAGCATCCTCATCATCATCATCATCAGCATCATCATCAGCAGCAGTAGCATCATCACCATCATCACCACCACCATCATCAACATCAGCAGCACCACCACCACCATCAGCATCAGCATCATCATCATCATCATCATCATCATCATCATCATCATCATCATCATCATCATCATCGTCATCA